CAATGGTTGTCCCGATCTTTATGAAATGAGAGAAGTCCACTTGCAATGATCACAAGGGGATTAGTCTGACGAACATGGCGTCTAAGATCGTAGCTTCTGTCATTATATGATGTCCAAGTAGAGCTCAGGAACAATAAACATGAGGAATCCAGGGAGGCTTCAAACCTGGTCATGGGTGCATTGACCAGATATTCACTCTCCGTCAGGTTCTGGAACACAGTCTCACTTACCGATGCTAGCTGTATTTCTTGAGGCTCGGGCGGTATTCACATCCGTCGGTCGACTAGTCTTATGGCAATGTCTTACTGAAACAGGTTGCGAGCAAGGACAACACTGCTGATGGCTCTGTTCTCGAACACCCAAAGGCTTTTTAGTGTCTGTAGTGAGTGGTTGTTGTCAAGTGGTGTCCATCAAGGAAGTTCACTCGCTCCATTCTTATTCAAATTTATCACAGTTGCTTACAGAGCTCCTTGTCTTACTTTACACGAATTAGTCTTATTGCAAGAGACTCCTTAGTAGTTCCAGAGTATTCAGATAACATAGTACTGTTAGGTGGAGATGCTAACAAGATACAGAGTCTTCTGGATACTTTGGGTGGTAACCTGAGAATGTTTAGGATGAGTTTCCCACCAACCAAATGCAAAATAGCTGTTTCAGGACTGACCTTCACCGGTGTCTTGTCTAACAAGAGAGAGTGAAGTGGCTGAACCCGTTGACCACTTCACTTACCTGAGAAGTTGAACTAGGCCTGGTGGATCAGTCACCGACAAATTCTCTGCACAAACACAAATAGCTCTATTGGGTTTCGCCGTGACATCCTAATAGAGGCCAAGTGGAGTGTGCTGCACTTCGAGGCCATTAAAGCAGAACAGACCATGTGTCATGTGTGCATCACATCAGTAACACAGAATTCAGGTGTGAAATACTGAGCAGAAGAGGAAAGTCAGTTGATGAAGATGTGGGCTTTCATCAACCTAGGCGGTTGGGATGTGTTACGCATGCCCAGTCACCATTTGCCTCGTCGCACGATTTTAGCCATAGTACGTTCAGCCTGAAAAAACGTTAAAGATAGCCGATGCAAAATATTACATCCATCCGAGAACTCTCTGACTGTTGATTTCAATCCTTAGGAAGATGTAGACTTGTCGGTCAGTGTCCATGTGATGGTGGTAATCGTTGTTTGGGAGCTAGGTGATATGGCTCAGAATCATTCTCAATAGCGCAGATGTATCCAAACATCATCTTAATCGTCATGCCGAGTTTCATTCCTCATCGTTCCCTCCTCACACCTTTCTATCACTTAGACTACTTTCTATGTTATTTTTTATCTTGGTACATTTTCATTCTATTTTCTGATATGAGGTGTGACAACTTCGACCGCCATGCAGTAATGCCAACTCGCACGTTGATAGTGACTGAGTGAAGTTATCATTCTTCAATGGTTTGGGTAGTTACTGACTTCAGGGGGAAAATGACATTCCTATACAAAACAAAAATACCCCATCTACATTTTTATCCCAACCATAGCACAGTATTCCTCAGCCCATTTCGCTTTCTTAACTGAAAGTTAGCATTCATCTTTCAATACATTTTCTCTTGAAATAACCAACTTGAGAAACATACTCATTACATAACATATTCCTAAGTTATTAGCTTCAAATGTTTCATAGGCATTCTAATTTCTGTAAACCGTTTACAATCTTATATAACGTCTATCAGTTCTATTTTGACGAACCATTATCAAGTGGATTAAAACATTCTTTGGATCTCCTGAGGGAGGCTGTCTTGAGTTCCCTGTTGACCACCTTCAGTTATTCAACATTGAGATATCCGGTTACCTATGAAATTGACCACATTGCAAATTTAGTCGAATTCAGTCTGAAGGTATTCATCACAGACTGACATCAGTCTGAGAACAATTAGAAACCTGGGAGCACTGGATAGCTGTTTCGTTCTAGTAAGGGACTTCTCATCAGTGCTCACTCATGACCCCATCAGGGATCAAACCGAAGATCTTCAGGCTCAGTGCGCTACCGTTGAGCCGGAATCCAGTAGTTCAAATCACCTACTTCTATCAGTTCACGATATAGAGCGACTTTTATTTAATACCATCATTGAGGGTGTCATACTACGAGGAAACAGATGTCCAGTACTTCAAGGTTCTCAACTGATGTCAGTTCGTGAGTAAACGAATTCAGTCACCACCACTGACTGGATAGCATGATATTGCTTGCTTTTCAGTCGACGCCAATAGCTAAGTGCTAACAATTACCATGTAATAAGTAGTTAGAGACTAGTTGAGCTCGCTAAAGGAGCATTAATTCTATCAGGGTTACAGGCACACCTTTTTCGCAAATTTGAAAAACCACAAAAATTAGGGTTTCCTGTCAAATGTATCAAACAGTCTGATGTCTAGAATTCAGATATAATGCAACTGTCAGATTATTATTCCCTTTTGTAGCCTACTTGAGCTAATCCTCTTTCTCACGACTAAGTGTTCATTCTAGCTGGTAATAATACAAAGGTTCTTGTTGGCCGATAAGTAGATAACAGCTTTCGTTTTATCTCCATCTAGTCAACATTAAGTTGAAGAAAGCCCTTGGTTTGAAGTTTAATTCGATTGGGAAATAAGAATTATCAGCAAAGCACAATCGTTTACATTGATCTTGGTGGCTAGCAGACGAATCCAGGAAGCGCGTTTCATCCTATTTGGGACATATCAGCTAGATGTACCTACACCCCAATGGGAACGACATCACTCACTGGTCGAGTCCTAAACAGGATGAAATGCGCGTACTGAATTCCTTTGTTAGACACCAAGATCAATATAACATCAAGAATATCCAGCAGTATCGAGGCATCCGCATAGGAGCCCATCGGCCAATAGAGGTCGAGTAATTAGCCCCTGTATACCAACAGAAAATTAAAATCGTTTACGTTCACTTCTAATGCACTGAATGTGACCGAAATAAAAATAGCATTTTAATAAACTTAAGATAAACCAATATAAAAATGGTCTCATCGAAAGTGTAAAACGAACAAGTAGTAGAAAATGCACAAAGAAGGAGAGAGTCACTCTGTACAAGATTACTCAACAAATGATAAGAAATTAAAATTTATGTGAACTAGACATCTGCAACAAATGAATACCAACTGACTACCGACTTTTACGCCAGTAAATTTACTTTATTCCCAGTAAAATGCCTTGAAATGTGTACAGAAGTAAGAATATGGTAAAAGTAATTACCCACTCATGAGGACTGAGGTTTCAGACTACTTAAATTGTTCACTAGTAGTAGTATCAACTGACAAGAAATTCTGGACCTAGATTTTCTACTTTATAGCACTCGTCAGGAAAGCGTATCTACAACCTTGGTCAATTTACTTCATGTATCTAATGTAGTGTAACAGATACAAACACCGTAACTCGGGTAGAATGAAAGTGAGGATCGAGGATAATTGCTGATCAAAACTTCTTTGTAACTTGCAACAAACGCCTCCAGAGTAAAGTGGATTTATAACTAGCAAATCTCCGTAGATAATTCACTAGGATGAACAAGAGCAAAATAGCATATGACAAAAAGTGATCACTGTCCGATTAAACAAATACAATTTATCTATGGGATTATTTATTTTACCTCTTTTGTACAAAACACCATCCATACCCTAGTTTCATAGTATATATAGGTAATCAATGATGAAGCACTTTGAAAGAAACTACTATTCACAAAGATATAATTTAATGGAGATCTATTTACTGAGATCCTGTTCCACAGACTGTCAAGAACCATTAAGAGAATATTTTATGCGTCTAATCAATCTCTTGTTTTCTGGTCAACGATTTGTTACATGTCAAACGAAAAACAAGTCACCTAGTTTCCCCACTTCTATATGTATTTAGCAATTTAAGTGCTTCTATGGAGACAGTTATATCGAACGTACGACTAAGCAACTTTACTAATGTATTATAAAACATCTACCCTTGTGGATGGGAAAAGGAGGGGTTAAACCTACAATAAGTTCTATTTTGTCCCATCTAGTTGACAGTGGTCACAGAGTGGATAAAACGAAAGCATTCAAAGTAATTTATTCCATCCCACCGAACCTTTCTGAAAGAGTTCGAACTCGCCTTTTACATGTAACTGAAGTAGTAGGTATTAAAATGAACAATTTGAAGCTCTGTATTCAGAAGAAATTTGTACAACTATTATCCCTGCCATGGCCAGGGAAAACCTAATCAGTGACGTTACTTATAAATTTTAAAATGTACTTCTTCCCTTTTTTTATTTTCGATACCCCTTCCATACTATTACGGTATTCATATTTAAACTTTATTTATTCAATGCCTTGATACTCCAGTGTTATGTAACCTTATTGTGCTTTTCCAAGCTTTGAACTACTTTGTCTGAACACCTGCTTACATTAACTCATGAATTATTTTGATTGAAAGTTATGTGTATCAGAATGGTGAAGTCTGATGAGATCTAATTGAAAACAATAATGTTCGCTTACATATCTTATGATACTTTTAAACTTCACTTACTAATTACCTTTGAGTAGTACGTTTTACATCGATAGATTAGCAGAGAAATTTCTTTTGGGTACCAACAGCATGTTTCGAAGAACATTAAATGAATTCATATCTAATTACAAGATTTTTTAGGTTGGTAAAAACTGTTCAACAGAATATAGGTTTTTTTTGAGACTAGATGAAATGTGGTTCATTATTCTTGAATCACTGATGTGATTGCCTAGTTTAGTTCTGGTAGAGATGAGTCACTGTACAAATAATTAAATGGTATTACTTCTATCAGCTACATTGAGCGAACCAGGTTCCAGTCACCTAAGTGATAATCTCATATTCGTTAAGCGAACAAAAATATATTAACATTCAGTGCTAATAAGTGTAACGTTGTGAGTCAATGAGAACCTCCTCCAAGTTGTCCTAATTATTCAACATCCAGATGTAAACTTTTTAATACACAGAGAACGATGAACATCAAGTACAATATAAATTTTATTTACAATCAAAAAATTAATTTTGGATGAAGCATATGTATCTCTTACAAATCCAAGTACAAGGTATCCGTATATCCTAATTATGAAATAGATAGATCGATCAGTCCCACTGTAGCAATATACGTTGACTACAAAAAGAAAGAAAGAAAACAATAACTACGAATGAGTAGTATAGAAACTGTAGTTAACCATAATAACATTTTAATTATGTATAATAATGGTGGACAGTGGCTAGCAGTGGAATCCAGAATGCACATTTCGTCTTATTTGGGACTCGTCAGCTGGATATACCTGCCTCCCAGTGGGTGATGGTTGTTCCACTGCTAGCCACTATCCACCATTAATATACATAATTAAAACACAGGCAATATCGGGCCATCCGCACACGAGCCTATATACCAATAGAGATCGATCAATTGGGTCCAATCAACGACGGTATACTACAAAAAATAATACACAGTAACATTATCTACGAATCGCAAATGAACGAAAAAGGTTTAGTGGAACTGTTTCTTTAGACGCAGGCATCAAGTATAAACTACATAAGAAGACTACTGATACTTGATTATCAGTATTAGTTGTTAGGAGACAATCAATAGAAAGTCTTTTTTGACCTAGATCTCATCCCTGCTACCACTCATCTGTAACCATGACGAAAGTCACGTTTTTTCGGTGATTCAAGTTTATTTCATTCACTGCTGAAACTACATATACCAGAAGGTGTATTGCAACGTCAAAAAATATATACAAAATACAAAGGTTTATATATATTTCCAGGAATTTCTTGATTTGAATATCCTAATGATTTTTATCTCTTCAACCAATCCGATATTTACACGTTGGTTCTTGTGCTTTCTCTCGAAACTTCACTATAACATGATCGGTTATAGAAAGCCCCTAGGATTTATGGCTTTTTATGAAGATTATAACAAACTTAATCCACACCATAACAGGTATTAACATGAACAAACCAATGTATCTTATTAGTTTTATTATTTGTCCCTTGGGTTCCTAATAGAACATACGGCTTCAGTAGCACGTCTCCATTCCACTCACTTCTCTGCAATCTTTTGAACCTAGCTCCACCACTGCCTACAAGCTTTCATTTCTTCCTCGCATGATTTCCTCCATGTCACTCTCAACTGGGACGCCCAACTCGGCGTTTCTCATCTGGGTTCCACTCGAAGACCTGGCCTGGCGCGTGGTGTCCCCAGTTGGCCTTCTCATTGCATGCCCAATCTATCTCCCCCTCCTTCTGTCCCATATTTGTTGAATGATAGGTTCTTGGTTGGTTTTTTCCAGGAGTTCCTTGTTACTTATTCTTTCTAGCGATCTGATCTTCAGTAACGAGTTAGCGTGGGCACTTGTTGATGAATGTCTGTAGTTTGCTGGAAATGCCTTTCATAACGTGCCAAGTCTCTCAAGCATATAGAAGCACTGACTTGACATTGGTGTTGAAAATCCGGATCTTGTTTTTTATGCTGAGTGCTATGTCTTCAAAAAAACAGTGGGAATTATCAACCAGATGAATCTGTATCCTATCTATTCATCAATGTACAGATAGCAGAATCATTTAATAGGTTACTGAGTTACGATAGTAGACGTCCATGTGCACCAACTTTTGCTTACTATTGGTGACAATTCATAGATGCTTGTAGTATTCTCATTTCTCAGTAATTGTTGCATTTCGATAGAAATTATTTGCTTAAACACTTGACTTTCAAAAAATGCGTTGCAAATGACCCACTGACGTGAGAATAATCAGTTAGTCTCATTTACTGTCTCACATAAGCAGGTTCAGTCTATAAACTAGGACAGATGGGTTTCACATTTTTGTACGATTTTTTCCAAGCAGAAAAAGTAGTTAATTCTGATTGAATTGTGATGTATGTATGAATATTTATTAGTGAAGTTTAGGTAAGGAAAAACTGAACTTTCAAAATACTAAGATAATCCTGTCTACCTAACTGTTAGATCAATAGGACATTTAATGCAGGTCGGCTTTGCATATCACTCATTAGTCGACCAATGCTCAATCCGAAACTAAAGGATAACGTACCTCATTTTAGCCCTTCACCATGCATATATCAATTCAACTATTCCTGTGGAACTAGTTACATAAGCCGTACGATTAGGCAGGTGCATCTCCGGATACGAGATCATCTACCAGCTTAGTTCGGAAAGGTTCAGCCCTAGCGCATCTAGTCAACACAGGGCTTTACATGGATGCTAATAAAACTTTCAATGGAGCATTGGATTCTAACCCAGTGGCTCAATGGTAACGTGCGAGCCACGGAACCTGAAGGTCGTTGGTTCGATCCCTGGTGGGGTCATGGGTGCGCACTGTTGAGGAGTCCCACACTAGGACGAAACAGCTGTCCAGTGCTCCCAGGTTTCCTTTCTTCCTTTAACTGATGTCAGTCTAAGATGAATAACAACTTGAAATATTTTCGAATCCCCACAACTCCCTCAAAATTTAATAAATCGATTTCCTTACAATCCCTAGATCTCACTTCGTTTTGAAAACGTAACTGCTCATGACATGGCTAGTTTTTACTCTGTGGAAATGCATTTCATAATTGTGAAACCTGAAGAGAATACTTGTTGAAAAGGATATTCTTTGTTCAGATTGTTGCTTTCTATAAATTTTATGGGAATTTTTAGTTTGAAATCTTACAAGAAGGATGTAATCTGAAGAATAAAATGATATCATCATTTCACGAATACTCTTCAGCTGCTACATACAGCTTAGAAGTGTAACGGTTATTAGCAGCAGTACATAAGATATTTCAAAATTAGGGGACGGATAATCTTAAGTTGTACAACAAAATCACTGATAATTCATATAACGTGCAAAAGAATTCATTGTAAAGAAGTACAGAAGGAAAAGATAATAACAATAATAATAAATAAAGTTTTGCATTTTTGAGATGAATGGGGATTTTTAATTTAGAGGTAGTATTCATCATGGAATGACATCAGATGTAGGGACCTTGAAGGTGTGGGAGCACTGGACAGCTGCTTCGTCCTAGTATAGGACTCCTCAGCAGTACGCGCCCACGACCCGACTAGCAATCGAACTCAGAACCTTCAGGTTTCACGGAGAACGCGTTAACCATCCAGCCACTGGATCAGTTCCCAGTGGTTCACAATTTCCAACCTAAGACGAAACAGCTATCCAGTGCTCCCAGATTTTTAATGGTTCCCCAACTGATGTCAGTCCATGATGAATACTACCTTTAAAAAGTCATGTCATTAAAATGAAACAGGATCAAATCATATTCACTAAAGAAGTGAGAGATTAACCACACTCTCCTTTTATAGCAATCGCTTCCAAGGAACTCAGTAATCCAGAAATTTTCTGTACGCTAGTTATCATTATCATTTTACCAGCACTCGACGTTTCAACCTGATGTCCTGTGTCTACAAGGGTGTCTGGTTATTGCACCGATTAGAATTTCACTTCCTTTCAAGCACAGATTCTTTAGGATAGGCTCAGTGAATCGAATGGACGCTCTCCTCTCAGTCCTTCCAATGTACTAAATACCTCAAGTGCATGTGAATTCATAAATATATTTGGAGGTTAAATAAGCAGGATAATTAACCAATTCTAACTGGTTTAACGAGCATATGATATTGTATACTGATACAAGTTGAGCTGCAGGAAAGCTTCTTCTCGGTGTTCATTTGATTCTTGCATCTATTCACTTGAATACCGTATTTCCCTTGAATGTAAGGTGTATGAGAACAATATTTTTCTTTCCACAAAACATAATTTTCTCGCTCTGTTGTAAAGCGCTTTGATTAGGCAACGCTTATAGTTGGTAGGACAGAAAACTGTTATACTCAAGGTATTGTTCATTCTTTTTCTATGGATGGTTTTTTCAATATTACCATCAGTTTTTCTTCTCACATTGATATCCAAAATACTGAACTCGTTTGCATGCTCATATTCCATTATTATACAACTTTAGATGATTAATTCCCTAATTCTCATATATCTTAATGCTCTAATAACGATTACATTTTCCTCTGAAATTTTCATACTTTTTGTTATTTTATTGATGATCAGTGAAGTATTTTTTGACAAACCTTATAACCTTCATACATATTCATGCACTGCGGGGTTTCTAAGCATAACTGATGTTTAGTTAGGGTGACTTATTAGTTATATTAGAGTAGACCTCGCTTATTGTAATTACTTTAAGAAATATCATTTAATTGATGGTAATTAATTTGACCGACTCACAGACGTTACGTAACGCACTCAACAACTCTGTATACATTCGTGCAGTAGGCAATGAATCACACATATTGGATATGGGCTAGTAATACTACCTGGCTCCACACATTTGACAATTTAATTCCGTTTAGTAAGATGAAATTGATGGTAATTGAAAAATGAGTTATGTTTTACCAGAGGATTAACATATAATTCATACACTTTCAAGCAAGGATTAAATCTGTATAATTTTCTCAAGATCATCATCTCTCCATAGCTCTGGATCATGAAAACGACAAATGAACCAACACCGATGGCCCGGCAGACCGTGGAGTATGTTAGCTTTGGGGCCGACCTTTTCTATCCCCCCCCCTTCCACTGAGAAGGCAGCATCAGCAAAAACTGCTGGTCATCCAAGGGAAACATGTTACAGCTGTCACACCTCATCCAGCTAACAGTAGTATGACTTCGTCCTCAGACCCCTATCATAGTGTAGTAATTTACACCACAACGGTTACTGCTTTTCGTCTAATCACTATCCAACAGACCTTTCTGGTATGGTAGGACCTCGAGGGAACAAGTGTTCCACCAGCATAGCTCGTTGGGTCATTGTGATATGCAAGCTCGACCACCACGTCAAGGTAGCAGCTATCGGTCGGGATCATGGTGTTAAAACTGACTTTCTGTCCTAGTACTTCAAAAAATTTCTAAGATACTATTTGCTTCATTGTTTACAGAATGCATACTAGATTTTAGAATCCCAAAAAGACCAGTTGATGAAAAACCACACATTGATATAGTGAAGAGTAGCATAGAAATCTTATACTTTAGGTAAAAACAATTGCTGTTCTTTCCAATCTGGAAAGTATAGAATAAGCTCACCTATTGTTTACAAAGTGTCTTCATCGATATCATCTATGTCTGTATTGAATACAACATTATGATAATCATGTGTTGTTGTTCTATGTCCGTGTGAAGTAACATTAGTATTAGTAGAACTGAAACCCATAAATGAATTATCGTCTAGTAGTTCACCGCCTCTATGCATGATATTATCATCATCATCATCATCGTCTACAACAACATCTAAATCATCTAAATCTCCACCAGGAATACCAGTCATTCGATGAAGAGATTCACTTATGCCTCCAACATCTGTACAATTGGTATTGACAGAATTTGCGACCAGTTCAGCTACAACAGACGTTTGTAAGTCGTCATCATCATCAACAATACCTCCGCCAATTTCATCAACAATACCGCCTACTGCATCTGAAACATTCAGATCATTATTTGTATCGTCTTGTTCATCACCAGAATCTGATAGAAGAAGTTCTGCAGCTAGTTCATCTTTAAGGTTGCCAAGATTGTTAGATTCAGACACAGTAACACTAGCAGTACCATTATCGCCTGAAGGTATCACAGTAGTCAGAACAGATTCTCCATTTTTGTATGTAGTTGTTGAAGAGGATTGACCAATCTGTAGAAAAAGGAAGTGAATAAAAGATGAGTAGAAATATGTACTAATTCGAATATATTAAATCAGAACAATATAAGTGAGAAAAATTCAGAATAGATATAAACAAGAAAATTGGTTGATATCAGCTGATAGTGGATGTGACCCAAACGAAAGTAAAGCATTTCCATCAAACCATAACCAATCCACTGTATCCGGGTGTACAAACTATACGCGTGAGCTACAATTTTCTACTCAGTGGTATTTCAGATAAAAATGCCGAGATTAATCTTAAGCTTTCAGAAAAATAGTAGTGAGCCATATTTCTAATTGCTTTTGACGGTAAATTATTCTTTAGGATGACTGACTGACTGGCTAAATAAAACCAACCTATAATCTTGTACACAAGTGCATCACTTCAATCTGCCACACTTCACAGTAGTATACAAAGGATAAATGGATAGAAGACTCATATCAAAGTAGAATAAGAAATTTCAAGATAAAGGTCAGTGCGAGTATTCAAGGTTCAGAAGATGACAAGGAGTAACCAATTTTTAGGCAGGTCACAAAAGTGCTCAACCAAGTCAGGCAGTCTACATCTACCCCATGGCTAGAACCTATGATTATAGACTTCATGGACTGATTTAACCACCATCACCCTTTTTCCAACCTAATCCCACTTCTGCTACCGTTGCACGTCAAAGTGGGTGGTGGTGAGGCATGCATGTATGCTCAAGCCATCGAAGTCACTGAAGGTTCTCACAAGCTCATCGACTGATATACCTTCCCAGACTAATATTTACGTCGCTCACATGATTATTCCACCAAAAGTGGAATATACATATATATTCTTTATGCTTTAGCGGTTAGATTGGTTTTACGGGGCAAGGTTGCTAGCCCTATGCCCAACCTTCCCTCTTTATCCGGGCTTAGGACAGGCTAGTAACTAGTGAACTAGTTACCCAGGTTTAAAAGACTGCAGAGAACAGAGTGAAATGGAGACGTGCTACTGAAGCCCTGTGTTCTATTAGACACCCAAGGGACAAATAATAATATAGTAAAGGTGGAAAATTCTATGAAGAAACACTAATGGTCAAAAACTAGCAATCTCTTCATATTTTCCACCTCTAACAACCATGTTCAACAACTAAACAACAGGATAGAACGGTCTGCAACGCAGTATACTCATCCTTTCATAGATAGTCGAATATCTCAAAAGTCGGTACCAGAGATGATGCAAGTTGACAAGTGCCAAACTGGCCTTCTGCATCCGAGATGAGATTTTGTCAGCAACCACCGCCGTTCGCGCTGATACGATTCCTAAGTAAAGTGCTCCACACATTCCACCAACTCATTTCCGATCAGTAAGCTGAGAGTAACTGCACACCAATCCAGAAGCATCATCTTACATTTGACAGGCAAACGCATACCAGCCGAAAATACTCAGATTTCTGTTCAATGCATTCAGAAGACAGTGAATTTTGTCAGCATCTTCAACTAGTAGGACAATATCGTCTGCATACTTCAAATCAACCAGATGACTTACAGGGGGTTGGCCAATCCCTGTGAAGTAAGACGTACTCAGGCTTTAGTCCATTAGCAAGTTTTTGACGAAGGTAAATAGGAACAATGACAGTGGGCATTCCCAATAAGACAAAATTTAGGACTTACAGAAACAAGCGTTGGGAGCATAGATGTTTAACATAAGTTACTAAGCCACACATGGAGAAAGTCTTATTTCCTTTTGAAGTTTTTGCTGGTAATACGACTTAAAACTACAATGAAACCTTTATGATTAAAGCACTTACATAGGGAAATGGAAAATTACCATAAAGAGATGAGACTGTGAAGATGTAAAAGTCAAACTGGCTTTTGTATTTATGCCAATATCTCGAATACTACTGCTAATAGCTGTCTTCATACACTGACCTACTATTCAAAAATAGGTATCGAATTCGTGAACACGATTTACTCCTTTCAACTTTAACGGGATAAATTAGTCTCACTTCTGATTCCACCAACTTTGGTGTTCCATATCTTTTCCCCTTCAAATCGCATAAGTTTACCAAGGGGATAACAGATACAAAATGTCACAATTTTCAGTACTGCGAATGAATGAGTGAATGAAAGGAGGTATGATATAATAAAAAATTACCTCTATACTGTCACAATTTTGATTTTGTTTAGACAACTGATGTTTGCCTTTTTCTCTGCCATCTCGACCAATCAACGATGATGGTTCATTCTCATCATTATCGCTAAGATGACCACTACTACCTGCACCACGACGACGACGATTACGACGATCCCTACCTTCGCCACGACTGCTGCTACTACTATCATCACTATCAGTGGATGAACCCATACTGCTACTACTAATCTCACCAAATACATCACGGTGATCAATGGCATAAGCTCGAGTCCCTGAAATATACAAAAAGTTGGAGGAAAAACCAGTGTAAAATAAACAAGAAATTATTATAATATGAAGATGATTCCCAAAACAGGTTGGTATCAATTAAAGAATCGTTTAGAAAAGTTCTTCTAACTTCCTTTGGAAACCTTTCAGCAGGTCAAAACCTTGACCTTTACTTTTCATGCGCGAATGAAAATTCATTCAACCAACAAGTTGAGTGATCAGTTAACCAGGTCAATATCAATTCACTAGTTCTCAGCATGTAGTTTCAGTAAGATACAATCTGAATATGGATTTTCATAGGTTCTGTTAGAAAGCTATGACTTTTAGCGTCAACCAAGTCAACTGTAAGGAAGTAATACCATAAAATGATAGCTATTTTATATAGCAAGTTGAATGAATTCGGAAAATGCAGTGTAATTACCATAAAACCTGAAATTTAGAAACTCGACATCATACACAGTGTTGATAGTGAACAAAACTGACGACTCTTAAACTAAGAACAAATGCATCGTCATATTTCCCAGGTTTTCAACAATTTATTCAACTAGTGTCAATTTACAATGAAACTAATTTTCACACAGATTACTTCTTTTAAAAATCTCATTAGATATTGATTCTATCCATAGCTCATGTGAAGTTATGGCTCAATGGTTTGGAAGAGATGACTAACCATCAGTGAGTCATGGGTTCGAACCCCACTACGCCTATCAAGGTTTGAGCAGCCAGGTAGTATCACTTGCTCTTACACAAAAAGTGTGACTTCATTGCTTACTTCATAAATTTGCACAAGGTGGTTGAGTGTTATTTGTTTACATCATTGTACCACTACTCATACGATGATAGGACTTATCATATGCAGGTTTATACACTCATGTATACTATTCGTTCTCCCTATAATGATTTGAAGTCCTGAATATTTCTATTGAAATGTACTCTGACATGAAATTTTTAGTGAACAAATGTATCCATTATTACTGTGTCATGGAAACATCTATGAGGAAACACAGTTCGGAATAGACTGGATAGTTTTCTGTACTAACACAATTTCTACAGATAATGATCACTCTTTACAAACTGGATAGCTGTTTCGTACTAGGACGGGACTCTTCGGCAGTGACCCCGCCAGGGATCGAACCTGAGACATTCAGGTTCCACGGCTGATACTTTGATATTATTTTTTCTTCAAATGGATTAGTTTGGTCCATTGACCAGAACTTTTGCTCAGTCTAAATGATATTCAACTAATTATTTCGTAAGTTATGCTGGTAAGGTAATTTCCTTATGACGACGTTTAACAAAGCCAGCCAACAACAGTCAACTTGCTAACCCTACAACAGTTATTGATTGAAAGTGAGGAATATTTGTAGCTCACATAGATGATCTTGGTTGTGTTGTGTTCTCTAAGTCGGGTACTTTATTCACCAAGCTTTCATCGTCTTTCTAAACAACATAACCATCAGCACTAACTTCAGTATGAAGTGAGTGAGCTGTCAATATCTCTTTGTCAGTGATTTAGTAGTTTGCCTTGACGAAGTGGTCTGTGATTGGTCTGTGATTCCCACTGGTTGTTGTATCATTCACAGACTGTACAGATTTTCCTGTTCACTGTTCCTCTACTTCACCTCTGACCTTTTGTAGTTTATCATTTTTCTCATCGGTTGATAGATTGCATCTATGTCTATACACCTATTGATTGCTGACTGACTGATTGACCTAAATGCTGAGCCTGTAGGAATTCTCTGATATTCTTTGTGTTTCCTTCCTCCTTCCAAGATTTCTACATTGTCAAAATTTAATTCATGTTCATAGATGTGATGCACATGCATTGAAATGAGTGATGAAATGTCGTGTGTGATGTATAACAGCTAATTGGTGTTCATGTAGACGAAGGTGAACAGGGTGACCACTTTGTCCAATACAGTGTTGACTGCAGTTATTGCAGATGATTTTGTAAATGATATTCAGTTTGTCTTCTTTGGTTGTTGCATCCTTTGGTCTGCATAATAGTGTTTGGAGGGGATTTGTTGGTTTATGAGGCGCCACACTAATTCCATCAAGTGGTCTCAGTAATCTTATCGTGATTTCTGATATATTCTTTATGTATGGTAGGATGATGTGTTTATTGATTTCTATCAATGACTTTGTAGTTGATGATGTACGGGATAGGCATCTTGTGATAAAGTTTCGCGGGTAGCTGTTCTTCTTTAGGATAGATATCAAGTAATTTTCTTCGTTTCTTCGTGAACTTGTTGTACTGCACTGCAGTGTGCTCTCGCTCTTTGGAATAGAATCTGAATGAAACTGATTTTGTGTGTTTATGAGTTGTTGCTATTGTAGTTAACAATTTGGTCAGTGTGTTTGATTGAAAGTCTATTTTTCAACTGTGATAAGTGTAGATACTTGAAAAAACTGTAATATATAACACAGTCTGTCAAGAAACCTACCATCTTCATCTTCATCTTCTATTTCATCATCAGCTGTTGGATGCTGATTACCTAGACGATCATCTCCACTACCAGATTCAGTATTTAATGTACCTAAATTATTCTTGGCATTAGCTCGTATCATCGGTGCAGGTGGATCAGTCCATATTACTTCCCATCTAGAAAATAAAAATAGTGAAACGAGAATTTCATTGAAATGATTAAAACAAGATTTATTTTAGTATTAATAGCTTATAATATAAAAATTATCAAAAATTTAGTAGAAGAAGGTTCACTTATCAAAAGCGAAATCTCTTACAAGTTAATGAACGAATGAATGAAATTCATTCAGCCACTTTGTACACATCCATACATTAAGTAATGAGCCATACTAGTGATGCTACCTGGCTTGCCAAACCTTGATAGGTGGAGTGAGAGAGAAGTGAAGTGGTTGAGTGTGTTGACCACTTCACTTACCTGGGAAGTAGGATCAACTCCGGTGGGTTAGTTGCCGATGAGATTTCGGCACGGATACAAAAGGCTCGATTGGCTTTTGCCAATTTGCGCCACCTATGGCGCCACCGTGATATTCGTTTGTCTATTAAGGGTCGCGTGTACTGCACAGCAGTCCACTCTGTTCTACTGTATGGCTGTGAAACATGGCCATTGAAAGTGGAAGACATGAGAAGGTTACAGGTATTTGACCACCGTTGCCTTCGTAGTATAGGACGTATTCCGTGGTGTCACCATGTGAGTAATGCAGAAGTTAGGTGTAGAGTTTTAGGGAGAAGAGGTAAGTCAGTCGACGAGGTTGTGAACCTTCATCGACTGAGATGGTTGGGACACGTACTACGTATGCCTAGTCGTCACCGATTGCCTCGTCACACAATGTTGGCTGAGGTGGGTTCAGGCTGGAAAAAGGCCCGAGGTGGCCAGACTAAAACATGGCACCAATGTATGAAGTCTCTGACTGTTGGTTTAAGCCATGTAGGACGATGCAGACTAGGTGGTTGGGGTCCACGGGACAAGAGGAACCAGTGGTTGGAGACCCTAGGTGATATGGCTCAGAACCGAAGTCAGTGGCGCAGATGTATACACACATTATCCTCATCTTAACGAGGCTATACCGAATCTCACTATTTTGTCACTCCTCTTTCCTTTCTTCTCATACTTTATATTTTTCTTGACTGCATTCATTTATCTTTATCCTTCACCTCACTACCTTTCTACTTGATGTGCTGATATGAGGTGTGGCAACTCGGACCGTTACGCAGTAATGCCTGGTCCTATGTTGATAATGATGATGATGATGATAGGTGGATTAGGATTTTAACTGGCGTTAAAAAGCATCTACCTAAATCAGTCAATCAAAGCTTTAGTCAATGAATGAATTGAAGTAATTTTTATGAACTCTAGAATGACTAAGTAGTCTTTTTTCTGAGGAAAGATAAGAGTGTAGACATTAATTCTAATCACTCACATATTCTAAGACTCTCTAGTTAACACTATACATGAATATTTTACGCTCTATCATGAAAGTTTCAGTGATGAGGCTTATTCACTACATTTTATCAGAATACAAAACATACTAACTCAATGGTTGAAACTGATCTAATTTATATCGTTTACTTCATAAACTCACTTTCTATCTTGTTAATCATACAATACAGATACATACCCATAAATAAAATCAAGATATCTACAGATGATCTTATAAACAAACTGAAGTCATCTTCAGGGTGAGTTGAAATGGTTTAATTTAATGCCTAAAACTAATAATCCTAGCAGAATTTACGGTACTATTAATGTTTATAAACCAGATTATCCTATTAGAAAGATAGGTAACTTTAGAAATAACCCCCAATATATGAACTAGCAAAAGTATTTAGTATCAATATTATGTCTTATTCGGAGCGGTTCAAATTTTAGACTAGTAAAGTCTTACAAGTTAAAACTAAGACTTAATGTGACCTACACATAGAAGAGGATGCAAAAAAATGGTTGATTTCATTGTAACAAGTCTTTATACCAAGTTGTTATTCATCGAAGACTGACATCAGTTGGAGGAACAAAGGAAACCTGGGAGCACTGGATAGCTGTTTCGTCCTAGTATGGGACTCCTCAGCAGTGCGCACCCACGACCCCACCAGCAGGGATCGAACCCGCGACCTTCAGGTTCCACGACCAGCGCGTTACCATTGAGCCACTGGGTCAGAATCCAATGCTCCATATTTCCAACTTCTGTTAGCTCACGATATAGCCACTGGAGGCAGTCAGAAGTTAACCAAATATTAACTCAGAACTTACTCACAGAACTAAGATATCGGTTAATGAAATCATATTAAGCGTACAGTTGCACCGGACCTCTACAGTCTTCAAGTTTCAGGACAATATATATATATATATATATATATATATATATATATATATATATATATATATATATATATAGACAAACAGAAGGAGTAACAAGAGGATTGCCAATATCCCCAATCAGACCATATATATTTATGGATAGTTGAGAAAACATGTTCCTACAAAGGTTTAGTCCTGCATCAAAAATATGGTGACGATAGGTGGATGACACATTTAGCGTGTTGAAATAACAACATATCGACCATTTCCTCATACATAAACTAAGTAGTAGGTGCAATCCAAATCACTTAAGAGATAAAAAATGAACAAAGAGAATTAACTACGTTAGATTGCAGAGCAAAACAAAGAAGACACGACGGCGTAGATACTATCGTCTACAGGAAACCAATGCATTCTAACAAGTATGTAGACTTCAGGTTATCTCATCTAGTGTCAATTAAGGTGGGTTTAGTCAAAACTCGAATTTAAACCATATTATGAAAACGCAACAAACTAAATATCATTTACAAAATCACCTGCAATAACTGCAGTCAACACTGTATTGGACAAAGTGGTCACCCTGTTCACCTTCGTCTACATGAACACCAATTAGCTGTTATACATCACACACGACATTTCATCACTCATTTCAATGCATGTGCATCACATCTATGAACATGAATTAAATTTTGACAATGTAGAAATCTTGGAAGGAGGAAGGAAACACAATGAATATCAGAGAATTCCTACAGGCTCAGCATTTAGGTCAATCAGTCAGTCAGTCAGTCAGTCAGTCAGTCAGTCAGTCAGTCAGTCAGTCAGTCAGTCAGTCAGTCAGTCAGTCAGTCAGCAATCAATAGGTGTATAGACATAGATGCAATCTATCAACTGATGAGAAAAATGATAAACTACAAAAAGGTCAGAGGTGAAGTAGAGGAACAGTGAACAGGAAAATCTGTACAGTCTGTCAATGATACAACAACCAGTGGGAATTACAGACCAATCACAGACCACTTCGTCAAGGCAAACTACTAAATCACTGACAAAGAGATATTGACAGCTCACTCACTTCATACTGAAGTTAGTGCTGATGGTTATGTTGTTTAGAAAGACGATGAAAGCTTGGTGAATAAAGTACCCGGCTTAGAGAACACAACACAACCAAGATCACACACACACAAAATCAGTCTTGCCGAAAGTTAGTTAAGGTACTAATAGCTCAATTTTAAAAATTGTTGACTTCAGTATTGAGTGATATAGGCACTAATCTCTGAATCTCTTCAAGGTTTTCTAACTGATGAGTACGAGAAAGTATAAAACTCGTGTATAATGCCTCCTATAGAATCACCATTAAGAAATACACCAATATTGATATTCATCTACAATATCAGAGAACATCGTTAAAGTTAGATAGTAACAGATACAAGAAATATACACTTACTTTACATTTACAGCTTGTAAATCTGCTCGAAGTAATTGTTTAACTTCTTTTTCAATTTTAGGCATATCTACAAAACGCTTTCTACGTGTTTTTCGAAATCTTCTGTGTAAAACATTTTTTAAAGGTGGAGTTATCCCGTGAAGAAATTGAAATTCTCGATTTTCATGACTGAAAATTCCAAGAAAAGAAAAAAAAGGCAAATATAAATGAAAATTTTTAAAGCCCATGAAATTTGTCACGCAAAAATTCATATGCATCGGTACTTCTTTACTTCTTTAAACTTTTAATTTATATTATCCTCAATGTGTTAATAGTTGATTAAACCATAGCACAGATACTAAATGATCGACTGATTGCGATCAATTCACGGCACTTTTGTTGTAGATTTTCTACGAATATCCTGTAAAAATTTGAGCGCCAAGTCTGATTTAATCATTATGAAGCTATAGGTCAATGGTTTAGGGAGATGAATGCCAAACACTGGGTTATGGCTTTCAGCCCCGCCCAACCTATCGCGATTTGGGCAATCCTTACACAATAGGTATCCTCTCACTATCTACTTTATGAACGTGTATAAGGTAGTTGAGTTCGTTTCGATTATGAAAAATTAGTGTTAATATAAACCCACTGTGTTAAAACTGAATGCCTACTGAAGATCAACTGGACTACAGAAAAGTATGCTCTGTTCTACTGTATAACTGTAAAATATGGACAGTGAAAGTGAGAGGCACTCAAAAAATAAACACACTTGATCATGGATACCTACCTACATCTAATGTATTGTCGAACTGCGATGGAACTAAAGAGTAATCAAACTGAAGGTTAAGCGTACAGTAGAAAGTGAAGTAGGTTAGTGTGTTTACGAAGCTGGGAATTTTTTTTTCTACTGAAGTGATTGAAGCATTAAGCATCCTGAAGATTGAGAAAGTTTCAAGGTGATCAGATCAAAACGTGATACTAATTGATGAAATTTATGACTACTATTTTGAGCTGTATAGATAGATTTCTGTTTCATGATTGTTGAGACCTTATCAACCATCATGGTTTGTTAACCATGATATGAAAGGTTGATTTTAAGGGAATCAAGTAATCAAAAGATTCATTAACTAAACATAAGGCGAAAATGAATAATACTGCTTTAACAATGTGACACATCTGATAAACAGACTAAAATGGAATTAAAATAGAATACAGTGACCAAGTTTTACTCCTATATTAGTTTCACTAAAAGTAAAATAATGTTAATAGGACTACAAACAAACACCGAATTGTTTTTTGGTCTTTTTAGTTTATTATCACATGGTGTCACCACGTGAGTAACCCAGACGTCATGCTTAGGTGTAGAGTTTTAGGGAGAAGAGGTAAGTCAGTTGACGAGGTTATGAACCTTCATCGACTGAGATGTTTGGCTCCGACATGTGTTACGTATACCTCGTCACACAATGTTGGCTGAAGTTGGTTCAGACTGGAAAAAGGACCGAGGTAGCCACACTAACACATGGCACCAATGAATGAAGTCTTTGACTGTTGGTTTGAGTCATGTGGGTCGATGCAGATTAGGTGGTTGGGGTCCGTGAAACAAGAGGAACCAGTGGTTGGAGACTCTAGGTGATATGGCTCAGAACCGATATCAGTGGCCCAGATGTATACACACATTATCCTCATCTCAACACTATGCCGATTCTCACCATCTTGTCATTCTTTCTTTCTTTCTCCTCGTACTTCATATTTCTTTCGACTGAATTTTCTTATCTTCATCTTTCACCTCACTATTTTTCTACTTGATGTACTGATATGAGCTGTGGCAACTAGGACCGTTACGCAGTAATGCCTGGTCCTATGTTGATACTGATGATGATTATCGCATAACTGAACAGGACAAAGTACACCCAATTATCAGTTGGTAATATAGTCGAGGAATTCACTTCTCGATTTTAAACGTAAATTGTAACGCATCTTTGAACTCTTATAGATCGACAATCATATTGCTTTTATAGTGGGCAATAGAGTTGAACGAACAATCATAATTTGGTCTTATGTACACTCATGATGTAGGTCTTCAGTTTTAGGGAGTGAAGACTTCAGTTCGATTCATTATGGAACAAGTGGGTGGAAAAAGAGTGATATAAAAATAAGTAAAATAGTATAGGAGGAGATACAATAAAAACTGAAGGTTAGAGAAAATGCTCAAACTTTCGAAGAAGTCAAAGATTGAATATATATGTGCTATTGTGGTCTATTTGCAATCATGTCACCAAGAATCTTCAATCATTGATTCTCAAAAACTCAAGTATTCCAGTCAGGCAGTCTAATGCTGAGATCACCATTCAAAGACTTCATAGACTAGTGTTACGTCTTCCAACGCAATTCAACTTCGGCTAACATTGTACACCGAGATACGCGGTAGCTCGGCATGAGTAACACATCCAAGCCATATCAGCTGGTAAAGGTTCACAACTTCGTCGATAAACTTGCCTTCCTTACCTAGTATCCTTCGCCAGACCTCACAAACTCATACAGTGATTCCATCATGCTTAAACAATGCTGAGATTATACATATGGTCAAAACCTGCAATCTCTTTATTTCTTCTGCGTTCTGAGGCTGTCTCACAGCTGTAAAATAAAACAGAGTAGACTGAGGTACACTACACATTCAGATTTCTCACCTCCTTCATAAGTAATTTAAAACGGTAAATACCAAACAGGCTTTTCGTATCTGAGCTGAAATTTCATCAATAACCAATCAATTTGAAATGATGTAACTCATCAAGTAAGTGAAGTGGTCAATACATCCTAGAATTTCGCTCCTTATTCCTAAAACTAGTTTATGTGGATCATCTTGAAGCAACATCTTACATTTGACAGATGCAAACCGAATGCTAAACGTACTCAAATTTCCGCCTAAGGCTTTCTGAAAAGCGCATTTTGTCAGCATCTTCACCCGACAGGACCATGTCATCTGTGTAATCCAAGTGTCCTTCTGGGGTTGTCAATCCCAGTATGTTTATAAAAAAAGCCAACCCATGAACGGTGACAGTGAGTATTCCTTGAGAACACCACTAGGTGTCATCGATTTAGATGATAAATTCCCATAAGCTCTCATACCAATGTGTTAGGGTAGCAGGTTTTGATTAGCGTGATATACCTCCTCGATATTTCTTACATGGTCAGACACAAAACCTCTCGATCGACGGAGTCAAATGCAGCCTTCAGGTCAAGAAAAATATGGTAACTGTCATGTGCTGGTATGTATGTGTTTCAAAACCCGTCGAAGGGTGAAGATTTGATTAGTGCACCCTCATCCAAATTTGAAAACTGTTTGGTTTTTTCCGACTCCAGTTAGGCATCGTATAACTATGGTCCTTATAATCTTGGAGACAATATTACACAAACTGCTCTATCTGTGATTGTCACACAAAAACCTTTTTTTATATAAACCGGAATTATTAAAGATCAATACCGGCCTAACAGCCAAATCCTGATGCGATGGATTGTTTCAGGTTGGAAACAGCATGTTCATTTTGGTTGACGTTGGATCCTGGGCAAATAAGGCGTGACTGTCAGCCAGTTCAGCTCTTCTTCAAAGTGTCCAACCCGAAGTTCTAGCTGTCTGGTTCTGAAAGGTTATCATGGACTCATCGTTTTTGGTGATGGTTTCACCACAACCATCGTTTCCTTCTTGCCACTTGTCTGAATAAATCTAAGTAACTGTCAAGCGTTACTTAGTATTGATGCTTTTTCTAGCTCTCTCGCTTTCACCACCCACCACTGATAGCAATCATTGCCAAGACTCTTGGCCATGTTATGTTTGAGCTACTTTTGCTTCATACTGCAGTCAGCGTCACCTGGGAAGGGTCTTCTCGAGTCGATCAGTTAAGATGAGGTTGTGGGGACCTACCAGCTCTTATTAACCTTTGGACGAAGTTGACCAATTGTCTACCACTGTTTCTACAGCAGACTGAATATTATGCTAGGTTTCGTCAAGAGGAGAATTCCTGCCCCATACGATTTATGCTCAGCAATCTCCTCCTTAAATACACACTTCACATCCTAATTTTCCATTCCATAGTGTCTATTTTCTGTGTCCATAATTACGTCTGACAGGACTCCATCTACGAGCCTGAGAAAGGACAGAAATCTTTCACCGATCTCCTCTAACGATGTCTTATAGCAATAAGATCTGTGACCATCGTAGGTTTGGTGTCTAATGACACCAAGTGAGTGTCTCTCTTTATACTTGTCCAGAAACAAGTTACTGTCAGAATAAAATTATAAGAAACGATCCGTGGGGATGGGATTCCGTAGATATCTCCAAGATGTCTTTCTAACTGCCTCAGTTTCCTTACTTGAGCGCTGATGTCAACTTTTTCTATGACTATATGTGAACATTTTGCTCTTTGTAGCGAAATTTACAGCTTTCGGCAAATCACAATATTGGAAACCATCCACACTGCAGTTGGTGAACACGTACGCGGAGGCAACGGGTGTCACCATTCATTCCCAGTTTTTAAAAACTTATCTGCTCTACAACTTACTGTTACACCTATACTAGCAAGTTCACGGGAGATAGTCACTGGATCTCCAGACACTCGTAAAGTGAATTTGGCAGATTCACCGTATTGATCAAGTGAATAACCATATTTGGTTCCAGTATATGTGTCGAAGAAACACAAGAAACATTCATACCTCAAGATTACAGACTTTTGACTAGAGACGCCTGTTGTCCGATTTGGCACATGGTTCGAACTTTGGAAGCCACAATGAGAAAATGGCAAGGTGGTTCTAAGACACTAGAAATGGTGCTTTCCTTATGTGGATTGTTGGTAGTGGTTACAAGACGTAAAGTTGAGGAAACTTTAAGAAGCTTAATGCTGGTATCAGTAAGTGATAGCAAGGAAAGAAAAAAAGGCGAAGAAGCTGGATTATGGTTAGTTTGGTTTGTGTGCCGTTGCAGTGAGAACTTTGAAAGCTCCAGCAGGTACCTAATCTCACGATTATGCTGTTTACCCATCCATCTGCTCCAAACACACCTGTGCAACGTGATAGTATAGTAAGCACTTACACAATAAGCGTGTTACATACCTACTACATATACATAAACTGTGCCAAACTGAAGCACGCATAAACCAATTTACCAAAGGTCAATAAAAAAGTAAACATTTAAGGATAACACTAACCCTATGTCAAAAGTTTTATTGCGTGAACCAGGGCGACTGTCTAAGTATGCAGCAGTTCCGCGAAGAGGACCAGTTTGATCTCCTTGAGTGCATATCATCATCTGACAAATATCAGCTGTTTTATAGAAATTTTTCTTATCTGTCGTCTTCAGAGATTCTATTATACATGGGAGATCCATAATCTGACCTTGGTACACTTGACCATTATACCGAACAATTGTATGTCGCATATCGGGTTTGAATTCTATAGTAAAGCTTTCCTAGGTAAGAAAACAACATTTATTTTTGTCATTTGATGAGAAAAATAGTTCTAAGAAATCATATGTGTTAACCAATCGAGAAAGAAAATTCACAAAAACCTCCAAACCTTATGTCATTTAACTAGGAATTCGGCGGGAAAATTTATCCCAGTTGTTTCTGTTCACCACTGCGCTCAACGTCTGTAAGAATGCGTTTGCATGCATTCATGAGTTCAGAAGATGTTGAGATCCACTGGGTCTTTCTAACCACTTTCTGAGAGTTAGCTACGGTCTTCAATGTTGTTTTCACAGTAGACTGTAGATAGTGCCAGGTTTCTTCCGGATCATAGATTTTCTGTACCGATAACTGGTTGACCGGTTCTTCATTGCAAGTAGCCTTAGTATTCTCATCGTTGAGCAGCACTCGCAATTGTATTGCTGCAGTAATTTTCTCACAACCATTTAGACCCAACCATAAGCGTAATGGCAGCGAAAAAAATCGATCCCCTAGAAGGGGGGCAAACTTGCACCGACTCCCTTCAGTGATAACTGGTAGTAATACAGTTTGTCTGTGAACACTACTGAGTTGAGGTCGGTGGACACCATCTCAGACAGCATCTTTCTCTATGTCTTAAGTTCGTCTTGACTGGATATAGGTGGTTGCTTGAGCAATTTTATCAGGTGGTTACTGTTATTTGTTTGTTAGGCTGATCCCGAAAGTGTCACCCCAGTGCCTTTCTGTTTGACTTACCCTACCCATTTTTGGATTGAAATCAACTGCTGCGATAACGTCTGAACGTTTAGCTTTCAGTGGAAGGATAGACAGTTTTCGGCAGAACTAGTCCTTCACTTTAACCGAACTGCTATCAATGGGTGTGTAAACGGAGAATACACGGAGACAACGGTGAGTTCTACTATTCCTTTTCGTCCTCACTGTCGTGCAATCAAATAGTGTATTTCACAAACACAACAAATGTCCATAGCCCGAGATTTCAGATAGCGAAGCTTGGTAAACAATTTGATGGATAATGAGGATACTGAAGATTCCATTATGCAGTTTGGAGCACGGTTTCAGGAGATTGTTGATGCTGTTTCGTGAACTTAAATCGTTATCTAGGGCTCCTGAGTTGGAAAAAATTAAAGATGAAGATGAATGTTAACCGAGAGATATGAAGAAGTACTAGGAGCTAAGATGCAGAAGGTTAATAGTGAAGAAAGAACTTGAGTACTCGAGGAGTTTTGAGGGTGGTTAACACTTCCCGGCTGCACACGCCATGAGAGGTTAATTCTTTTTGAGATACCTGAAAAAGGAGGGTTAGTAAATAGCAAAAGAGCATAAGCGACATCTTGAGGCCGATCACATACAACCGTCTTACAAGTTTGAGATTTTTATTTATTGCGAACCCAACTATAAACTCATATCACCAGTGCCGGTATGCTGCGGGTTAGAGGTGCGTGTTATCTTTAGGGCCGAGTTTTTTTAACCCTCCTGTTCCCATAGGGGAGGCAGCATCAGCGTGGGATTGCTGGGCATCTAAAGGAAAAATATTACTGCTGTAACACCCAGTCCAGCCAACAATACGACCTCGCCATCGGACCTTCATCATAGCGTAGCAATTCATACTATAATGGTAAATGCTTTTTTTCTTACCACCATGCAACTGATCTTCCTCATAAAGCAGAACGTCGATGGAACACGCGCTTCGCCAGTATAGCTTGTTGGGTCATCGTGATATGCTGGCCTGACCGCCACATCAAAGTAGCCACTATCGGTAATGTAATTATTCTACAGTACTATGGTTTTGAAGCCAACCAACTTTGCGCTCTAACTAACCTTCTGAGCATGGCAGAACCTCAGAGGATAAACACTGCAGTTGATATAACATGACATCAAAACAGTTAAACCCGATTGCCAAAATAAGATAGCAGCTGAAGAGGGAGACGCAATTCAATTCTACTTTAACAGTCTTTACTTCACAGACGCCAAATGTACATCAACTGTTTCAAAATTTTCACTCATAAAATTTATTTTCCATCCAAAATTTTAATTTTACCTTACCATCAAAGATAGACTGAAATATACTCAGCAACCATATGCACGTTCGTGCGGTAGGCAGTGAGTCACATCTATTGTGTGAAAGGTAATGATACTACGTGGCTACCCACTATTTGTTATGTGACGCGGGGTAGGAACCTCCAGCCCACTGGTTAAAAGTAAACTACATGAGCCAGTAAGACAGTTCCACCCTAAAAACAAATTCTAACCGATATCGTGTTGACGACAACTCGCGAGCAGAAATACTTTTACTGACATAAGGGCATACATACTATTGTTGCGCATTCTGGTTGAAAAGACTCATGATTTACAGCGCGACTTGGTTTATAAGAATGTGCAACCTCGTCTGAATGCCTAGTCCGTAGATATTGCTGATATCAGAGAGCATGCTGCATTTCTAGACTGGTCGGTTATCGCTAATTCTTTTATTGATGAGGAGTGGGTTAAGTTCGAAAGAATGCCTGAGTCTTTCATTCCTGAATTATTCCATGATGCGCTCTTCGTAAACTAACAAATTGTCGTTCATGGACAAGTGGGTGGGCTAAGAAACCACTAAAATATGGGAAAAGATACAGGACTCCGTTTATATTCGTCTATTTACAGAAGTGAAGAATCAAATATTGCAACTTTAGGAATTTCTAAAAGGCATTGAGTACAAACATATGACATTAAGCTTGTTGGGGATTTTCTTTATTTTCCGAAGAGTTTCTGCGCACAATTAATTTAGAATCTAAATCCTGGCGAGTTAAATGGTACATGTGAGCTTTATCATCGCATATTATCAGTACTTGCAGATACTATAGCCAAGATATTGATGCTATTTGATGTTATTGAAGCAGTGGAAATCACCGAGAGACTAGCAGGATGCCATCACCAGTTCGTTGCAGAACTACTGACCTATCAGTCTAGCCATTAATATATGGGGCAGTGGCTTATTGGTTTGGGAAAATGACTTCTAGCCAATTGGTTTGAATCCCGCTCTACGTACCAAAGTTTGAGCAACCAGGTAATATCATTAGCCCTCACGCAAGAGATGTGGCTAACTGCCCAATGCACGAATGTGCACAAGGTAACTGAGTGCATTTCTTCCTTCTTCCTCTGGCCATTAGGCTACTGAAAAAGACTCTACGCGAAGTGATTGTAAAATATGTTGGAATGAATAGATTTCTAACTTTTGAACATCATAGTTTTAGAACGGATCACTCTTGCCTGACAAATATTTAAATTGCACGGAACGACTGGGTTCCGTCCGCCGATATGCCGATTGCAGCAGAGCCATCAATAAGTAAAAAACCGGATTAAAGACTTCCTTATTGACAGAAAACAGAGTTAAGGTCAACGGAATGCTATCACCCAGGGAATTAGTGAAGAGTGGTTTACCGGAAGCTACAGTTCATCTGTTACCTCTTCCTGCTCTACATCAATGGACTTTCGGTAAACATTAGGTCCCCTTGTCTTATTTACAAATAAGGTTATACCAAACAGTTACCAACAGTGACAAGGACAGGTCAATCCCACTTCATGACGATCAATATGACTACTTGATTAATGATTTTACTTTCCAAGGTTTCCCAGTATCAGGGTTTGGAAACTATTGCAAACAAAGGTATAAAAGCAAAAGTTTCCCATTGATCATTTCGTAGATTACGCTCCCTTTGTAATGTTTTTTAGTGCTTTGAAGAGGAAATGTTTCAGTTAGTATATCCAAAATATATCAAACATGATATAGAATACGGGATACAAGTAGCGAACCCTCACGAGAAGCAACTAAATCGACCCGAACAATCCTCAGTATTCTGCAGCAGTTTGAAAGAAGAATTAATACTAGTGTATAGCAGTCTAAATAACAATTTGAGTGCTGATTATCACTATCTGTTCCTCTTATAAGGCGTATTTTTACTTATGTAATCCCGGTGTAGTATATCAGAACAAATAAAATAAACAAATATTTTATATTATAACACGCATATATATATATATATATATATATATATATATATATATATATTACAACATGTTATAGTACAAAATATTTGTTTATTTTATGATTTGTCCTTATATGCTACTCCAAGATTACACAAGTTAAAAAAAATACATCAATTACGAAGTTTTTCCAAACCATCCAGTTTATTGATGGTCAGGATACGTTTAAAATTACCTATTCCTCCTCTCTAGAAACGATAACCCGATAAGGGGATACCATTATGGCAATAAAACCTCATTTTGGCTTACCGAGTTTGAGTTTTCGTTTTTCTCATCAGGTAAGGAATCTCAGTTCACCAATAAGGCTAAAGCTTCTTCGATTTCACTACCAAGTACTTGAAACCACCTAAAACCATAATAGGAATTCTTACAGCAGCACTACGTAAATGCTCACAAAGCAGGAATGGAGATTTACAACACTCAATATCGCAAGATTTACTATACATCACTTGGGTTTGTGAAAACGAAGACAAGCTTACAATCACAGCACTGAATTCACCGTTTTGCGATCTAATATCTCGATAATGAATTCCTTGAGCCCCATCTTTTAGAACACTGGGACAATTAGGAATAAAAGTAAACTAAGGATAAGGGAAAACTGGACCTGACCATTTTTTCCAACAAAAGTCATGATTTATCATAGCATCAAAAAGTTTTTTGAACCAACTTTAAAGGGTATTCCAGCTTCAATATCAGCTGCTAAGTTTTGAGCAGCGAGTGTATCCGTCATACGAAGAATGAACTGTTGTTCTAAATCATAGTTGGTATCTGAAGATAGCTTAGCCGTCATCCTGTAACGACCGGCTGTCGAGAGATTAACGTACACCCTGAACGTAGGAACGTTGCTGCAGGGGGCACGTAGAGTAATGTGAATTTAGTGGTGACTACGAGAATCTGGAAGGAAAAAGAGGAAGAGAAAAAAGTGAGCCAGTGACTCAGCAAGTATACAAGATGTATTTACAGTTCATAAAAAAAGATGACCGACAAACTGTAGAGCTTGATAAGGAAGGGGCAGGATAGTCTAGAAACCGAAACTGGAAGGTGAATGAATAAGATTCCCAATGCCCTACAATTCTTACAAGTAGCACTTACCTCAAACCAGGCTTCCTATATTACATATCCAATGGCAGCTATTCATAAGCTTTTAAAACACCAAACAGTTGTTCCTTAAGTTCTACATGCGTTTTTCAGAGAAACGTCCGTTTTCTGGAGTGGTCATATTTCTTGTCTCGATACAAGGGAACCTGGAAGGAAAGAGATAACCGATTACCATCATTCACTTATTTTTTGATAATTTAACTAACCCGTGTGCGCAATATGAGGAAGTGCCTCTTTATTACAGACTATCTTTATCACTGGACTCAAGATAGATACCTGACCTTCTTCTCGATGTATAAGTAGGGACGGCAGTGATAACTCATTCAGGCAGGAATTTCAAGGCTTTACATATACCTACTGCAAATGAGTTAACACGGATACTGGTTAATACGCTCTCACACTCTACTATTCCACGGTGAATGAAGTTTTCTAATGCCCTCAGCTGAGAGATTTACGGAGATGTAATTTTATTTTGGAGTTTTCCATAGAAGGCACACTTTGAAAAGGAAGTAACCTCTTCATGTCCAACTAAATTCTTGATAGCTTGTGTGTGTTTTACGTCATAGCCTATTGTGCAACGCACAATATGTCAACCCAGTGGAATTAAATCAAATGTCTGAAGATGTGAGAGAATACCTCCTTCTAAATTAGCTGATCCTTTGGACGGATAACTCTAGAAACCCACTTCTAAGAGGCTTCCAGGCACCATAGACTGGCTGAGATAGCCCAATGACCAAGGCATCACGTAATCCGGTAAACCGAAGGTTAACTGAAATATTTATTCCCTTGGCTCTCATATGGTACGAAGGGGAAGCAACTGGATACAAGCCATGGCGCGCCGCACCAGTTCTAGACCCGGTATTCTCTGACGCAGACGATTTCGGCTTCATCTGGCACCCTGTACTTCTCCACAGAGGTGATCATACTGTGATCACCCTCAGCTTCAGAGCAGCCATCATGTGCCAGGCCAAACCATCAGCTGTGCCCACTGTATGTAAATCGAATATGGAAGCAATTGGCTTGACAGCTTCTTCTGAGGATTGGACAAACTATCCAGGAGCCTCAGTTGGGGCTGTATGCCTCTCCTTCAAGCAATTATATGCCCAGGTGAATCAACCGTTTATACCAAGAACTATATCGAAGCGACGGAGCCATCACCCTCATTGGATAAACCGAGAAATTCAGAGTTCGCTGCAGTGAAAGAAAAAGTATGGGTGTTGTGCCACTCACCCCGGCTTTCTAGGAATATATGTATTACTGCCTTACACACCTTTTCAGAAGTAGTGACTGAGTTGGGTGCCCATCTAATCCCGGGGCCTCTTGCCTTTTTTACCCTACATTTTGAATGAGGTTAAATCTTTTCATTTACTATTTACCGATACGCTTATAATTCTCCGTTCTTTTATTAGATTGAACTGTTCGACCAAGCAAAATGTCCGTTTTCACCCGTCTAAACACCACTTTAATTATTATCGGATGCTCACGCGAACTTCCGAAATGTCATAAGCCTGCCTCAGTGAATTTATCAAATGCCATCAAGTAAAAGTCATTTTGGTGGATTGCAGCAGAGTCTAGATCGAATAAACTACACCAACTTATACTGCTCGAGGTACCCAGATTGAACTGTGTATCTCCACCAGACGAGATGGGATGTTTGAGGTGCCACCTATGTTCTATTGTTTGTCGTAATGCCGGCGTAATAATATTACAAGAAACTTGGTTTCGCAACCCATGTGAAACTTTCTTCCCCTTAAATAGCTTCAAAACGTTTCTCCAGGAATCATCTAACTCTGCAAAAGTGTGCGGTGAAGTGCACCGACCGTCATCCACACAACGGTGTTCATCAGATGGTGCATGTTTCGCCCATTCTGATGCTAGACTTACTGTAAATTGTCGCCCCAACGATTTCAATAAACTTGAATTCATTTGGACCCCTAATGTTTGCTGTACTGCTGACTGAAGGTATCTGATTCATCCAGATTCCCTTACTCATCAAAGTCGCTGTTTTATAATGTGCGGTTCACTAACCGTTGTTTGAGGTAGTTTTCACTCTTGTGGCCACGGCTCTCCGCATTCTCTCGACCACGGTAACCTGGTCAGTTTCCCAACTCATTTTGGAGCCATATTAGGCTTTGTCTTCGTTAATGAACATGGCACATATGAAACTCGGAAACGTGCACTACTGTTGAGCTCAGAACAATTTATTATACCCGCCCTACAGAAAATACGTGGCAAACCACTGGAGGACACTTTGCATACCAGTTTAAGAAGACTATTCACGGGGCTTTTCATACGACAATATTCACAAGCTCTGACGCTTGTTACAGAATTGGGGGATATTCGACTATGATGCTTTGGATAGCACAGTCGATGCCACCAAGTGCGCTATTAAAGTTTGCCCTGGCATTTGCTTTCCAGGTAAAATGATTTTTCCGGGGTTTGACAGATTTTCTCGGCAACTGAAGAGACTATGAAAAGCAAAAGAAAAGTGTACAAGTCGAAGGATAATATGAATATCATATACCTAAATTTAAGGCATAACCGACGATTATGTTCACTTATGAGGTTTGTGGGGATTTGTTGATTTCGGGTCGGTACTTATGGTGGACTGGCATCAGCATTCGAACACATACACCGCATAGAATTTAAGAAAACCGCCTGCTGTTATGCATGAAGAGCTAGATAATACAATATTTGCGGGTTTACGTATGAGTGGCTCCTTTAGTGCGCAGGCGTTTCCCCAGGCCTCACTTCTGGGGTTTCTCTAGCCAGGAAGATCACTACAGAACCTGCATTTGATGGGAGGGTACTTTGGAAATTGATCTTCCGGTCGGTATCCATCATGGGCTGACATCAGCTGGGGGAACATTAGAAACCTGGAAGCACCGGACAGCCGTCTCGTCTTATCAAGGGGCTCAGAAGTGCACACTTATGGCCCCACCCTCATCAGGGATATAACCGAGAACCTTCGAGTTTCGAGACCAGAGGATTAACATTAGGCCACTGGGCTGGAATTCGATAATCCATATTTCCAACTTCTATTAGTTCACGACGTGGCGTGACCGCGATGAACACTAGACTGAAATAAAAAACCGTAATTTACATAAAAATTTATTCATGCGTGTGAAAATGGTGTGTTTCTGTGCGTTCAGAAATAGTGTTCTCAATTTACCAACTTCCTGACCGAATTTGGCCACTGGTCTTCCTTGAATGGCCTCACATTCAGTCTCGTGAAGTTTACGGTGGTTAATTTCAGCTTAAGATGTGTACCAAACCTTTTTGAATTGCCTCTCCCCCATGGCTGTTGTCGAGACTTGAAGGGAGTGCACCGGGCGTGATCCGCCTGAGCTTATACTTTTCCTCTGATCTATCTTGGTCCCTTCATATCTTAGTGATGTTCGGGAAAGCCATTCGACCTTTTATACACCGAAACTCAGACCGTCCTGTATATCTGAGCCTCTACTCTTTCCCTTCATCGATTCTCGTGTTTTCCTGTTCCTATTAATCTTTTCCTTTCATTCTTTTTGGACCCCGGAAAAGGGGATGCGTTGTAACGTATACGATTTCGAGGGCTGTCAGTAAAGGAGGGGGTAAAAGCTGCTAACCAAGGTGATAAATTCGGTGGTAGATAAGTAGCTGAACTGTCGTGGACAACTGACTAGAAATACTTTGTCTGATGACAAGCGTCCCCTGCGTCTGCACCCCTTACCATGTCTGTTCTCTGTGAGGGCAACAAGTAAGTATAATAAGCTCCACGCACGCACAACTGTGTACCAAAATTTAGCCACCACCTATTTGACTCGCGGATTGTGTGAAGAAAATCATGTTGGACGTAGTCCTGTCAGTCAGCCTTGCATTGGCGAACAATTGTCATGTCGCTGAAGTCAGTAAGTATTTGAGCCACCATGGCTCGGTTGATAAGGCATCATGCCGGGAACTCAGATGTCACTGGCCCGAATCTGGCTGCGGTCCAAATCTTCATTTCGCCTTCAGTCATCCACCAGTGTTGATCATGTTACTCTGTATACGCTGGTAGCTAGCACCGTTTCTAATAATAATAATAATAATAATAATAATAATAATAATGATAATAATAATAATAATAATGCACATTTCTCATACAATATGGGCCACATAAAAGCAAGCCAGTTTACGGGCACGATCAGTTTGGCAGGATGAATTCACTGTTTTGATCACTAACAGATAAAACAGTGGAAACTGTTATCTAGAGCGTATTATAGGTGAGTTTGGAGAAAGAATGTTATTGTTTCACGTACAAAAATGTTATATAACAAGTGAACTCATGCAATACCACGGGCTGTCAATTCTGTACTTCAAACAGAACCACAGTTCTGAATAAAGCAAACATATTGCGATGCTTTCATTCACGTTTTGTCGAGGCTGCGTTGCAGCATCCAAAGGGGTTACTATCTCGTATTCAAGATAGAAGCATGGGGTGTCACCGTTATACCTTCCCCCAATTAGGAGTTAGGAGCTAACCGGTTAGTTGAGGGCAACAAAGGAGAAGCGGAGGCTGTGTCCGGGCACTTTGCTGAAGTCATTACCCAGGAACATTCTGCGGACGCCAATGACACTTTTAGAGCGTAGACGTCTGGCAGATCAAACTCTGTGGGCACCCACTGAGATGGTCCATTCAAGACACCAAGTGCTCTGACTGCATAAAAATCATAGAGGTAGAATGAGCTACGCCCGAGGCTTTTCAGACAGCTAGCGCCGTAGTTGACCGGCCTGTCGATTACCATACTTAAACTGCTCCTCAGTGAAGGCATGCCTCTCCATGACTGAAAGACGTCACAATCACACCAATCTATAAGATAGGCTCTAAATAGCACCCATCAAACTGAAGACCAATAATCCTGACCGACACCGTAGGAAGGGTTCGAGATAGGGTGATCAATAAGGCCATTAAAACTCACGTAGAGGGCAACAATCTATTGCCTCGTTCGCAACATGACCTTAGCAGT